ACACACACACACACACACACACACACACACACACACACACACACACACACACACACACACACTTTGAAATGATTTGATACCTTGTCAGTGCACTTGACGCCTCCTAATTATGTGTTTCTGACGGCCCCATGCCAGCAGAAGGAGCTAATGACGGAGATTTTACTGCTGAATCTGTCATCTCAGAGCACTTCTTTTCTCATCTGTTTGCCTCAGCTCTTTTACCTCAGCAGCAGTTTTGATCATCAGCTCCCCCACTGTCACCTACTTTCTTGTAACTTCTTCATATTTTTCTCTGCAGTACTCGTGGAAGAGCGTGAATCTTTTTCCCTTTCTTTTCCCTTGCCTGTGGGGCCTTGATGATCCCACAGGATTTAAAAATGCCTTTATTTTTGGTCTCTGATAGAAAGAGAACTTCAAACACTATTCCCTGCGCACCTCAAACCCCATCACCCTTTCATGGTGATGCAACGCAGGCCTTTGATGGGCCATGGGGGTTCACACAATACATACTGAATTGGACCCGTGCCAGAGTTGCTTCTTAGTATTCACTCAAGGTTYGTGGGTGCCAGAGCTGGGGGTTGAAAGGGTCCCTGCTTCCGGGTTTGTATTTATGATAAGAAATGAAAAAGTCTGCATCATATGCAGAACTGTTAGCGGCAGCCTGGTTACCGAATGTCATGGAAATAAATGTTATGCACACTGCAGAGCAGTTTATCAGGAAAATGTTCCCATGCGGATTTTTAAAAACAATATTTGAACTATTTGAACAGATTTACGTGGCTGCAGCAGTGAAACAATTTGCCTCATTTATCTCCTGACTGAAATATTTTGTTCCTAAATCCTGATCTCTGGTTATACATGTTTCTGACCGCAACTAGCTACACTTTAAAGCAATAGTCCACTCCTGGGGAAAATATGAACAGTTAATATCTTACCTGTTGTAGATAGCTCTTAGAACAACCTCAGGTTGGAGAAACAACATTTTAATGGGACTGACAAACTAAAAGCTAGTCTGCATGGATCCAAACCAAAAATGGATGCTGTAATCCTAGAACAAGTTTAATTTTAAAGAATGTTATAAACTTTTTCTTTGCTGTCTCTTTCTAAACACATAAAAATATTACGATGTATCTGCATGAAACTGCGTGAAACTTTATGTCCCTGCATGAAACTGTTGCTTTGGTAGACTGTTTCTTTCACTATTTTCACTTGAAAATAACCACAAACCATTCATTATTTTATGTAATAACTGTGCAAAATTGGTGATGACGCTTAATAAAACAGAATTTGCTTGAACAGATAATATTTTCAGATAGAAGTTGTTTTGTGATGGTGTCAATTCACTCTGATCTCAGCCTCGCTCATTAGTTTTGGTTAATTTCTTTTAGCTTATTTCTCCAAATCGAAGCGTCCAAAAACTATCTATCTACAGCAGGTAAGATAATAAATGTTCATAACCTTTCTACAGAACCCCACTTCTGATGATTTGAATGTTCATTTTAAGATTTGAAGAAAACCACTGTAAACATAAAAATCAAGAATAGATCAGAGGAGAAGAAGCAACTCTGCTGGGTGCAACTATGGATCTTAGGACAGTTAAAATGTTAAAAATTGTAATTATTTTCTCCTTTTTTAACTTTAAATCCGAGATTGCTCTGTGTGGATTAAATCTCTTACTTGCAGCTTTGATTTGTTACAAATTGTGTGCAAAAACAGATAATTGTGACAGTTTGAATTTAGTCTTCGTGAGATTTAAAATTATGTTGACTGATCTTTTTGAAACAAACTCATCAGTATTTCCCTTCATACATCATAATTCTAAGCTGGCTTGTGTTCGGATGCTCTTGTTGTGCTCCTGTTATGTAATCCTGCTGAGATGAAAGCCCGCAGACTCACACAGCCCCGCACATCTACACATATGTCAAGGGATGAACGTGCAAACTTTCACATGTGCACACTTGTGCCAACACATGCGGATGCCCACACACGCCCCCTTTCTCACACACACCCACACACTCCAGAGGAGGAAAAAAAACAAAACTTCTCCTATTGACAAAAAAAGGTCACAGAGTTCACAGCTATGTGATATATTGGACGAGAAGACTATTAGCCTCATCAGGTCTCTTTCTTTGACAGCAAAGACGGACCGGTAGTAACCTGAAGACCTATCCCCCCACCACACACACACATCCACTAACCACTCCCAAAAAAAACAAGTCTTTTATAGTGTTGACCCTATAAAAGGGTCATTTCCTGAAGGTGCAGGAACCATAAAAATAAAGAGGGAGAGCGCTAAAAGGACAGAGCAGCAGAAGCCGGACAGTCTTCCACTCACCACTCAGTGTTTGCTGAAAGTCGGTGACTATGTGTGGTTTTTATAGATTTATTTATTCCATGGAGGTCTCAGTTTGACGATGACACCTGCCTCTGCTTGTGTAGTTTGCTGGCATCAGTTTGGGGGGAAAAGAGAAACTTTGGTGGGATTGTTGGGATGCTGGGACATAAGCGGTTTGTTTAAGGAAGAAGGAGAAGAGGGGTGTAGAAACTGCACAACGTACCGTCAACTTTATGGCTAATAAAATTTCAAAGGGACCTACGTCTATTAATAAAAGGCCAAAATTTCCCTTGGACCTCAGGAATCTCACTCCTTCAACCCTTCTTCCTCTATTCCCACGCTCCCCTGCACCGTCCCCTGSAGCCTCCAATGCACTCTTGACTTTTGGGAATACTTAGGAATTTAAAGACAATAGAAAGAAGTACTGAGATGCTGAGGAGGCATGGCTATAAGAGAAGATGTTTTTTTCTTTTTCTATTCCCCCTTTTTTCTTGGTTTTGTGTCACTGCTGAGCTCCTTGTTGCCTCTTTAAACAGCTTTTATAACAGCATGTGTTAAAGGAAGCTTACACTCCAAGTCTGAAGGAGAACGGAGCGCAAGGATGGGAGTGAGTCCACAGGGAGCAGCGAGCGGCCCAGTCCCATCCTAAAGGGACAGAAATAATAGAAGGGGTTTTATAGGTACAATTAAAAAGACCTGAAACAGATGTTACGTTTCGCTAATAAAGAAAATAATTACTTCACACCAGTAATTAAGCACTTTGTAGGTACACAAGTGAGAAGTGGGAGGCGGAGGGCTGTGAAAAGATAAAATGGAGATCATTGAAGGGATTATTGTTGATGGATGTGCTCAGGCTCTGTGTGGTCGTGGGTGAGGAGGTGCCGAGGATGAGTTTATGGAAGAGTCCATTAAATCTAAGAGGCGTTTAAGCAAACGAAATGCTGCGTGGGCATAATGCTGGATCCCAGGAGGGAGCCGCTGTGTCGGAAGGAAGCACAATTAACGGTGGATTATCTCCTGATTATCTGCATGAAAACTTAATTAGCCTCTTTTCTGTGGCAAATCAGAGCTGCTCCCTTGCTGTATTTACCACTTTTCACTTTGTCAGGCTTCACAGTTCAAGTGATTTT